CTAATCCTATGCCCTATGTAACCTTATGTAAAGCGGGCTAGACATACCCTTAAGTTAGGGCAGTCTAGTCTTATGCTTCATGTCGTCAGTTTAAACAGAAGTCAGGCGTACCCTTAAGTTAGGGCGGTCTGGTCATATGTTATATGACTAGAGTTTATCTGGAGTTGGCCATACCCTTAAGTTAGGGCAGTCCAGTTGTGCGTACTCTTACTTGTTTACTTAGGCAGGTTGGACATAACCTTAAGTTAGAGCCTTGTCTGATCCTATGCAATAAGCGAGGGGGTTTTCTAAAGGGAAGAACTGAATGATCTAACGAACTACTTGTATGTGTATGCATGCTTGTGGGCTCTCACTTGGGGCGTCTTTTCGATAAGATAATTGCTTTAGATACTCACCAAGTGTCGGAGCCATAGGTAGACTAGATGGATGATGGGAGGGAGAACTTGAGATGAACATAGGACTGACCCTGCTAGGAGTTAGGCCCAATGCTAGCCCACAGTCCCATCTAGGGGTTGGGGTTGTGCGGGCTGCCAATGATCCTGAATCATTAAACAGATGTCAGAAGTTAGTCCCAAGTATAGTTGCTTTGTCTTTCTGTCTTTCAGCTCCGTATAAATCTTGACAGCCTCCTGTTCCTACGGGAAGCGCTGCCGAAATTTCTGCAATCTGAAGGAGTTAGGCATTTTTGAGCTTGTAGAAATTATGAAAAGGCACTTTTCTTACGGGAAGCGCTGCCGAAATTTCGTAGAATTTGAGGAGTTAGAATATTTTTCAGCAAGGAGTTACCTAGCAAGTCTACCTAGGGTAGAGGAGGTGCTCAGTGATTTAGTGCTAGTCAGGGGAGTTGATCCTAAGGCTAGTAGAGGAGTTAGGTTACGATTAGGGGAATGTTTTCTCCTCGACATAAATCGTACTTTTTCTTTGGCCTGTATTGTGATGCAGGTTTCCATGGTTTGATTGAAGGCTCGACCTGTTCAGCCTGTTCGTTCTAAAGGATTATTCTTCTGTTATCACTGATAACAGGTCGGTTGCCGATCCATCGGTTTACGACTCAACCCCAATTCACTCTCAATACGCAACCTAAAAAGACTTTAGCCCTGGTGATTTTATTGTTTTGTTGAGATTTTACCCGGACTTTTATTGAATGGCCATTTAACAAAGGTACTGAGTATTTAATTATGGTTGGTTGGCTGGAGGTTGGGGCTTGCATGGCTAAAGCAAGGGGTATGAGTACGGAGATTGGTTGGAGTTGACTCCGCGTAGTGTGTGGACTTTTGCTTGACTCTTTGATGTGAGTGCAGGTATGTTATGTGGCTCGAACTATTGGATTGGACTGCCTGCGATCTCACATATATGTATGGCTATGAGGAGTCCCATTGTGATTGTGAGATGCGATCGTCACATATCTATTCCCCTGTATATATATATATGTACATACATACGCGTGAGGTGTTCGCGCGGCCTATTGTGATCGTGTGCAAAGGTTAAACAGATTATACTTTGAGAGAAAAGGAAGATCCCCTTTGACCTTTCGCTTTTTAGAGTTGTTAGGGTTGAACGTTGTAGTCTGTGGCAGCCGTCAAAGTCAACCCCCTTGATATTTGACCGCCACGACAGCTTAGAGTTGTCTACTCAACCCCTCTGCACAGGGTGCAGAAGGGGATGTGGAATTCAACCGCACATGGCGGTTGTCTGGCGTCGAGAGATTACCCCTCAAAGCGCCTGTCAGTCGACACTTGAATGTCAAACGCGACCCCTGAGATTATCAAGGGCCGCGAGGCTACGAGTACTGCGTAGTACCCCATCGGCACGAATGCTTGCGTATGCCCGCATGGCTGGTTGATATGAGAAGGTCATGCGCTCACTCAACTCTTATACGAAAGTCCAGTGCGCGATACCCGTCTGATTCTTGCTGCATAAAGTTATGGGTCAGATACTGAAGGGACTAGGAGTATTGTTGTGTTGTGGCGTTGTTTGCGGTGTTAGTCTTATGTGTGTCTAGGTGTTATGCGTGGTAAGTGTGAGTATTGTGGCGTAACGCGTGGTGTGCGTGAAGCGTCCTAGTCGACCGACCCCGAGTCGCGTTTGGGACTCCAGCCCCCCAGTGCGGTGATTCGGGTGCAGGTCCGATTTCGGGCATTCGACCGCGCGTACCCCCTATGCTACAGCGAGCGAGAAACGCCCTCGACTGGGCCACCTCTGCAATTGCATACGAAAAGCCTTCGCATGTGGTTCAGTAGCTCGACGGGGATACGCCCACCTAAGGGATGGTGACAGCTCCCGCAGGTGGAGGTAAGCGGTGCCTCACGTGACCCTGTCTTGTCGTAGGGGCTCGCGAGAGGTACGGCTGGCGCACTCGGCCGGAGCGGCAAATGCTCTCCGCGGCAAGTCCTGCCTAATCCTGCGTGACGCGGTCGGGAGGGTCCCCGTGCGGGAACGATGCGCTCGACAGGTGGCGCCATTGCCGGGGATCTCGGCTGCCTACCGGGGTCCATAAGAGAACGAACCCAGGTTACAAGCAGGCTGATGATCCAGGCAAAACGACAAATTGTGTTAATGGCGTTAAGTAAGTGGGTGATGAGTAATCGCAATTGCAGTTCATACGTTTGTGGACCAAGGTACCATAAGGTAATAAGGGCGATGTCCTGCGTATCTAATGCCATAGACTGATCATCGTTCGCCTTAGGTGCAACTCTGTATATTCGGATACCCAAGAAATGATCTTTGGTACCTTGACATAGTTAATGAGCTGCCTAAGTTGTTATGGCTGTATTAAGGTACGCTAGCGATAGGAAATAGCTTGGCTAAGAGAGAGGCATTTTTTCTAGGGATTCTTGTAAGGAGAAGACGTAGTATTCTATCTATCCAAGCATTTGAGTTTATCATTTTGAGATTATGCATATGAAATTCATTCATCTGCATTAAATTTTTTTCTTCAAGTAAGCATATTTAAATGTCGACTCATATGAGACTATGTGCTTGATGTTATTTATCTAAGTCTTATTCAGGAGCTATCTATCTGATTTCATTCTGGCTATGTATAACCCATTGGAGCTGTTTTATTTGAATTATTCATTCATATCCATTTTGTTATGCATGGGTTGGTCTTTTAAAGGGGTTAGAGATGTTACATAGAATCCACGTCCGATGCGGATTCGGAGGTGAATGGAGTGACCAGTTCCTTGAGAAAGTAAATTTCGCAAGGAAATGGTCAATGTGTGAAGTCTACCCCAGGAAAGTTGCAACTCTATGTTATTGTTCCCTGAGAGATGGCTTTGAAAAAACTATAAATCTAGTCTTGAAGGTGGTAGTGAGACCCACGTCGGAATTTGTTTCTGGTCCATAGTGGGGTGTTGTCATGTAATCTTTGACTACACGACTACTTAATAGGAGGAAAGTGTATGAACCTTGCCAGACCATGACCAATGAGGGAGGCGACTACTGCGTGTCACAAGGAGGTAGGGGGTGGTTCCCCATCCATCTTGCAGCAAGTAGGTTCACCAACACAGGACGGGGCAGTACACCCCGAAGCGTGTATGGTGAGGTTGCTACCTTATCGGCAAGGGTCTGCAAGGGGCAGGTGCTGGAATCGGAGGGAGATGCAGTGAGGCTTGATCCTTGAGCGGGGCTCAGGAACTAAGATGTTATCCCTTTGAGAAAGGGTTACACTGCCCCTCGACACAATATACTTCTGTCAAAGCCAGGGAGTAGAGTTTAATGCTCTCATTGTTAAAGTATCTGAGGACACTTATTATTGGCAAATTGGATTTTGACCTTAGCATGGTATTATTTGTTATAATTATAGCCCCTTTTTCCCTTATGTTACATATATGTAAAGTTGGTTGGTCATTAAAGTAAAAAGTGGTGCTTATTCGTTTACTCGATAAAGTACTATATAATTTCCCTTGGTAATAATTGCTACGAGTTTAAATATTCGCGAGGGTATTATTATTACAAGGTGTTATTGCTATTTATTTTCATTTAGGATGGGTGGTCGTAAAACGTTGGAATGGACGAAGTTTAGTAAAAAAATACTTTGAATTTTAGACTTCAAGAGCGAGATTGTAGAAGGGTTTCAGCATAATAACGAAAGACGTATGCTGGACGTTGTCTGTGATGGGCAGAATCCAGACCAAACAACAGCAAGTCAAAATGTCATATGCAGAGGAGAATCCCAAAATGACCCGACCAGTTGAAAGAGAGGATGGACTCCAGATGTCCTTGCCAAGGCGAATCAGGGAGAGATAATATATCTCTTCCTGGTGGGGCCTGGATTAAATCGAGCTTTGATGATGATCAAGACGGTGCGATCGTGAGAGCGACCCTGTACGCATCGTCATCATTTTGGGTAAAGCATGGGATTGAGTTGACACTTGGGCATGGGAGCCTGCTCGCAAGACCTTTAAGGATAGTTGAGGCCGTTGCGGCAAAATGGGCAAGAGAAAGGTTTCAGGAAGGAGAAGAGCAGGTTTCGACCCATATAGAGGTCAAGCGGGCCAGTGAGTTTGTGCTTCCTTCAAGTTCGACGCCGTTACGTGCCATCCTGCCCGAGTTCCTCGTGGAAGAGTTTTTCGGGGGACGAGCAAGGATAGAGGCAGCAGCAAAAGCCGCCTTGAGGACGCGAGAATGGGGGTATAGGTGCTACACGTGTGAGATGATATATGGCCTGTACATAGATTTAAGGGTTTTACCCCCTAGTCAAGGGCTTCGAAATATGGCTAATATTGTGGACGCCTATGCCTGCTCCCATAAGCCGGACAAAAAGATTGAAGATTGGAATGAGCTTCGATCGGCAACATGTCAATAAAGGATGGTCGGAATTCCTAAAGACTCGTCTATGACTATCTTACTATCGAGTACGAGTACAGTGACTAGTAGCAATTGTGACAGCTTCTGCTATCAACCTATTGCTCGTTTTAAGAACTCTATATCTGTGTAGGTTGTATGTTCCCCAGCGTACCCGTACGGTTAGAACAAGGATAACTGGAGTTTAACAGCCTTGACGAGCAGTGAAAGGGCTAGTGTGATTGAGTATTGACAATGTTAATTGCCCCTATTTGTTTTGAGCGTCTCGGGCTACAACCTCATGTTCCGTTGCTTGTCATATACGTCATGTCAATTATAACATCATGGTTGAAGAGAGTGGTTTGGCCAAGATCCTGCTCTGGAGGAGATCTTATCTCACGAAGGTGCTGCTGCATGAGTCGGTGCACGACTCGATGGCCCCAGATCTCCAAGCCCTGCTGTTTCGAGGGAGAAATTTGTCCGACTTCCTGCGTAACTACCAGAACCTTAGCCGCATGAAGATGTGGGACGAGAAAGCAATGTGCAATATGTTGCCACTATTCGTTGGTGAAGAGTTAAGTGAGGAGATATATACCCTTATGTTGAAGTCACGAACCTGGGGCGAGTTTGAGAGTTCCTTAAGGTTAAGGTTTCCAGAGGATGGAGAGGAGAGTCAACATCGTGGCAATCCTGTGCAAGTAATAGAGATTGCGCAAATACAAGGCGACCTAAGCAGCATACAAAGACAGATGGGGGTATTGGAAGGAAGGATGATACGACTAGAGGAAGCCAGGAAGGGCAAGCGGAAAATCTCGAAAGGAACGCCAAGTGAACCAACTGGTGGGAAAGGAAAGGAGAAGGTAGATGGCGACCAAGGGCCTTCCCCTCTCATGAAGGTTCAGAGAATGTCGTCGGGCGTTCAAGAGAGGGAAAGAGGTAAGGAGATAGGTAAGGAAGAAAGGGAGCGTAAGCCTCCTCAGCTAACGAAGGCTCAGCGGAAGGCCAGAAACCTGGCCAAGGGAGGTCAAGGTACTGGAAAGGAGCAATGTTCACGACATGGGACGACTGCCCCACAAGGGCAAGGAAGCAGTTTTGCGCCAATCGAGCCCTCTCCGATCGGGTCGGCATTACATAGGTGGGGGCTGTCATGCAATCCAATGATTTCGTGGCCTATGTGTATGCCATGTGCACTAGGTGGTCAGGACCCTATAAGCCGATATGGACCTCACGTCAATCCACTAATGAGCTTTGATACCGCCATGACCTCCTACAAACCAAGCCCAACTTTTGGGGTCGCCCCACCCACCAGCACAGCGAGCGTCTCAGGGCAGTGCAGTAAGCGAGGAGGGCGAGGGCAAGGTATTGGAACAGGTCGCGGGAATGGCAGACGTGGTAGCAATGGAGGCCGTGAAGGAGGCAGGCGAGGCAGTGAAGGTCGCGATGAGCGTCAACGAAACCATAGGTGGAAGCAACTGTGAAAGGGAAGCTAAAGTGTCGAGCATAACCCCTTAATTACAGTAGAGGGGTGTGTGGATTGTATAAGAAAAGATTGGAGAACTAGATAAGTGGTATTCATAAGTAAGAGAACCCAGTTGTATGGTCGTCATTAGAGGTAAAAAGGGATTGAGGGTTTAACAATAAGGTCTGGTAAGGATCTGACTAGGCAGACTGATTCAGGGGTATAATCCTAACAGATAGTTGTACAAATGTGAGTGGCATGGGGTATTTAGGAAGTGATCGTAGTGTGAATATTGAATTCCCTAACTCTAAGTGGGGTGTGGTCAGATTAGGTGTCTGTAACTGCAAGGATTAGGGTGATGTTGACGCCTAACTCGATAGAGTTTCAATAAATACTGACTTCATGATACGTATAATTTACGAGTCAAGCATGAGAGTCTTTGAGAAAACCTCTGTGGTAGTATGCTGACTAAGACCATTTTTTTTATTTCGGCTATCGAGGCCGTAGCGCTTTTGTGTGGTACTACGTGATATTGTGGTCATTCCTGACTCTTTTTTTGAGTCGGGATCTTTCTCCAACATTGAGTATATCGGTGACATAGGGATTACCCTGCGCACCGTTGAGTTGAGGTTGTTCAACTCCGAGTACATGTGGGACCTTAAGGCTATTTTTATTCCGTTAATTTGGAGTATCCCGACCAAATATATAATAACGACTTAAGATTATCTCTCTATGTGGCGATCACTATCACTCTCACATGTGTGGATTTATCCTGATGTATGATGATTTTTTGTGTAAGAGGTGTACAGAATGCATCTCGTGCGTTTTTGTGAATGTGAAATGTGTAAGCTGCCTACTCTTTGGTATACTCGCGCAATCTGCCTACAGACAGACAATAGGCTCGGGTATAAGAAAGAGGAGCACAGTCGTTTGGGGAAAAAGTGTGAAAAGTCCCAAGGGACTTATGAGTCTTTTGAGACTCAGATGCTTGTCCATGCCGATGTTATTTGTTGAGTTGAGATGAGGACCCACAAGCTGGTCTCTCAGTAATGAGTGTTTATGGATGACTCTCCTCCATGTGGGAGGTGGCTGTAAGAATTTATGTTTGAGTCCCCTTCAAAAGTGGAAGGTGGTTAAATGATTGAAATGACATGGAAAGCGGTTTGAACGATAAAGTCTGACGAGAAAGACCAAGATAAATTTTTATTTTGGTGAGATTTTGGAAGGTCGCAAATTGGTGAAACATTGAGAGATGTCTATAAGATGTGTGGTCTGCTTTACCCTGATCAAGTGGGAGGCCACGGCCCTGTGAATCTGGCGGTGATTTTTTTGTGGATTTTGGAGAGGGCGCCGTGCCTTTGAGTGAGACAGACCTCTGCGTAGTTCCGCAGTAGGCCTGAGGTTATTGCGACACACCGTCCAGCCACTATGATGCTAATCTTAAGACATATATGAGAGACCCAACTAGGGGTTAATCTAGTGTGACTAGGGCGCAACCCCTAGTGTTCGTTGCTGACTGGCGCAACCTGGCAGCGGGCCCACGTTTCACCAAAGGGTAAGGCTTGAGGGGTGTGGGCGCCTCAGAGAGTCTTATTCCCGCGGGATGTCGGAGGGATAAGAGTCGAGTCGTATTTTTTTTGTGAGTCCTGATAATATGATTTATCAGGAGAATCGCCCATCGTTGCGCAACCAACGAGGGTTCTGCCGCTAATATAACAACGCGGTGGGCCGTAGATCTGGCTCGATCAACTAGGCTATGGTGGGCCAAGATGGAGACCTGACTCTACTGTACTAGACTGCAGGAGAGATCTGTGATAAAAACTATATATATTTTTGTGGGTATTTTTGTGAGAAAGGCGATAGCGTCTTTAAAAGGTCTCGGTTAAGGCCCGCGTCCTAAGTTATGACCCTGCATGCAGGACGATGACTAAACATGACACCCAACGATGAACCGGCAGATGTCTAGGACAAAGGTAGAGGATTATTACCAGCAACTACTCAGCATGAACTTTACGTTGTAGTACTGATCTAGTACACCTGCGTTGGCAGGAGACCTAGGTTAAAACCCTGGCAGCAGCGGGACATATTGGGTATTGTCTGTTAACCACTCGAACGGAGTCAGTTGGCCAATCGGCTTGGTTCTTTTCTCGTCAACATTTGAAGTTGTGGTTGAATTGATAGCTTTCTGATTATCCGACGCAACGGGGACGTCCCTCAATAAGGTCCGGTAAGTTGTCGGCGCAAATACCCTTACAAGGGTATCCGCCCTGTTTTTTGCAAGTGACGGAAGATAAGGTTTGCTCAGGATCTGAGTATACTATGCGAAGTCGCGGTCGTGTTTGGTTTGCGTTGACTTAAGGGTTGACAGGAAATAAAGTATGCGTGGGCGCGCAATTTTGAGGCGCGCGTGATGATTTTCATTTTTGATGCTATAGGGTCGGCGCATCCGCCTACAACATTTCGGGCTTTGATTAAAGCTAGGAAAAGTTTTATCTTTTTTACCATGGTGCACCGACGTTCATACGGCATGCGCCGTCGATAGTAGATTTGCTAGGTGGCGGCACACTTGTGCTGCATATGCGACGGTAGCCCAAGGGAAAAGTTTACCCCTTCATACAGCAAGGGTCGGTGCGCAGGAACAGTAGGACGCAAGCGGTGGCCTCCGTGCGGCATTATGGGGGCTATAATCGGGACGTACCGAGCAAGATCCGGTCCCTGACGGCATGTAAGAGGCCTTGGGATTGGCGGAGAAGTCAAGCGGCAACCCTAATACTGTTGCCGCAGGCCTAGGCTGGCCACGGTTACCATTCACATACTGGGCAGCGCATAACCTGTCCAGGCTTGGGCTTAGCCCTATTGGTTGCGGTGCTGAACTTTCACCAGGCGGATCTCAGGATCGAAGCCAGCAACGAGCAGCGGAGGAGCGCTACGGAGCGAACTGAGGGGTTGAGGGTCCTGCGAGATTATAATTATTTGCTCAAGATTATATCCCAACTTTATATAAGCATTTGCACTTGGTCTTTTGAGGTAGCATATAATTGAAACCGATCATCTTTAGCTCAAGATTCAGTCTGCGCCTTCGTACCACAAGTTTATTCTTAGTTAATACTCTCTTCAGTTGGTGATAAACTATAGTCATACCACCCAAACTTATGGAACCCTGTCTGATCAGCCTGATCATAGATAGAATAATAGTAAAGTATAGCCAAATTATATCCTTTTGGTTTCAGCATGTGCACGGCATTGGACCAAGACCACCCAAACTTATGGGAACCTGTCTGGTCCTCAGCCTGGTTTATCCTCTTAAAACCAAAGCAGGAAGAGGCTGAGCCACCCAAACTTATGG